AGGCAGTAAGCTCTGGTTGGCCTTAAACACAAATCCAAGGGCACAGCAAAATGAGAAAATATTCAATTAAAACTGGGTGACCTGGGAGGAAAACATTGGAACTTTCCTAAGAAATACAAATTTCAACCCCCTCCCCCCTCAACATTTTAATAAGGAGATGTGGTATGATTACCAATGTGACAACTATCCCCAAAGTTCAAATAAAGTGGATGTAAGCAATTATATATAGGCAACCGTACCACCTTCAACAATGAGAAAAAAAACCAGTAGGGTATAGTCGGCTACGAAAGGCTCTGACATGAAAAATATGAAACAGTTCAGTTGAGAAAAAACGGCCTAATTTATAACACAATAAAACGAAAAACAAATATGACAGACATCAACAAACGACAACCATTGAACTACAGGCTTCTAACTTGGGATAGGCACATACAGTATATGGCGGGGTTAAACATGCAAGTGAGCGCTCAACCCTCCCGTTAACCTGGGACGAGTTTTGTTACAGAACAACATAAGAACAAACTATAAAAATCAATTCAAAAGGGCTTAACATGTCAGAACGATACAAAACAGAAAAAAACATCAAAGAAAAGCACAGACCGGACGTGGCAGGGTATTTATACATCCTTAACAAACAAAAAAGGACACAAAGTACAGATCTGAGAGTCATCGCAGTACTGACAGCTAGTTTAAAGCCTGGATTTAGTGTAAAGACGTCATTAAGAGTCAGAGAAAGACATGACTTTGTGCAATGCCAAATCATAGGTATCAACAGATTGTAGTACATTGATGTGTATAACAATAATATGTAGTATAATTTTAAGGTACTGATAACAAAATTAATATTTATACCAATAAAAACAATATTCAAAGATCTATTTACAGTGTTCAATTGGTAATCTTTTAAAATAAGTTTATTTAAAGGATTGATAAGTTTACCCTGATCGTTTTTAATTTACATGCATACAATTTCTATTTATATTATTATTGATAAATACAATATTGCAGAAGTAGTGGAAATATATCTACAAGTGAGGGAAGTTGTTTGTGACTTCAGGGAACTTTATTCGGATATGCCTGTTATGGTCTAATTGAGATTTACAAGACCTTCATTCAATTTCAGCACATTTTGTGAATGTATGTCCCATTTATAGGCATTATGTTTTCCGGTCTGTGTGTCTGTTTGTTCTTCCGTTCATCCGTTTGTTCCGCTTCAGGTTAATGTTTTTGGTCAAAGTAGTTTTTGATGAAGTTGAAGTCCAATCAACTTGAAACTCACTACACATGTTCCATATGATATGATCTTTCTAATTTTAATGCCAAATTAGAGTTCTGACCGCAATTTACGGTTCACTGGACATAGAAAATGATAGTGCGAGTGGGGCATTCATGTACTATGGACACATTCTTGTTCAAATCCTTTATTAAAGAAGTTAGTAAATTTACTTCAGATAAAAATACTAAATTAGACGAACCAATCTAAATAAAAGATATATCTCTGATTTCGTTTTGTATGAATTTAATCAGATTACTGGACAAACGCGTACAATCTTCAGACTTAATTCTTAACAATTTTACCGAGCGGAGCGAGGCGAAAAAAAATAACGTCTTTCAAGCCAAATTTTATATGTATGCTATACACACAAATTTATTGTTTAAACTTGGTAATCAATTAATCTAAAATACAGTCCTAGATAATCAAATAATCATGAAATATTTGGTCTAGTAATCAAATAATCACTAAAAAAAAACGGCCAAGTAATCACATAATCAAAAACCTCATGAGGAATCATTAAAGATGACATATTTTTGTATTAATATTGATTCACTTATAAGGTCTTTGCATCGGAAATAAACTAATTAATTCTAAAACCAGTTGTTGGCATAATACGGGTTATTTTCTTCACATTGACATAATTTACTAAACGTTTATTGAAACCTGTAATGTGAAGACGTGAATGAAAATGCGGAGTTTGTGAGACCAGGTTCAAGCAAGCAGCCACTCGCTACCAGCCACTTTGCTAGCAGCCAGTTTTCAGATGTTTATATAAACCCAAATGTTGCATAAGATTCAAACGTACTTCAAATGTTTTTATTAATATATAACCACTATATTATCAGTTTTTTTAATATATAATTAAGCAGTCAAAGACACTATTCAATGAATTTCAAAATTTCATTTCTTGTTCATTAATTATATAAATACAATAGAAATTGCTTTCAATTCATCACACAGCTTGCTGCACGCTTTACATTTCAAATAGTCAACACTTTTGAGTGTATATAGAATCGTAAATAATTATGAAATTATTTAAATGTTGGCAAAATTGCACTATTGTGTGAAATAGCTTTCCATATTCTCGGCATCCTGTCAAATAGTTCATGAAAAGTAACAATTGTTCTGCATTAGAAGAAAAAAAACGTTGCACTGGTGCTTTAACTTTTTTTTTTGCCACACAAAACTGTTTTGACAAAACATTCTACTTCTGAAACAGTGGATTTCGCTTACTTATGCTTGGACGAAAGGTTTATTTTTTGTACTCAAAGTATGGTGGGCAAGGAAATTATTTATTAGATTTAAAAAATAATCTGTGATTTACCCAAACTGGGAATTTTTATCAAGTAGGTGCTAGGTCACTAGCTTACGTTTGCACCTAGTGTTGAAAAAAGTATTGCCATAGAATTTTTGTTTGTTAACTTTTCGGTAAGGGTTGGGTAGGGTATCTGACCTCAACTTTGGACCTACTTTAGAAAAAAAATAAGCTGAAAAATACCCTGTGTTTTTTTCTACTGTAGACCTCAGCTACTAAGCTTCCCTTTGTCTTAGTGCGGACAAAAGTATTGCCTTAGAATTTTTTTTATTAAATTTTCGGTAAGGGTGGGGTTGGATGTCCGCGGACCCCAACTTTGGACCTACTTAAAAAAAACTAAGACGAATAACACCCTGGATTTTTTTCTCCAGTAGACCTCAGCTACCCAACTTCCCTTTGCACCTAGTATTGCCGTAGATTTTTTTTTATTAACTTTTCGGTAATGGTGTGGTAGGGTAGGTAGCTGAGGTCCACTTGAGAAAAAACCCAGAGTGATGTTAGGCTTAGTCTTTTTTTATAATGTAATAAGCTGGCAAATTATGAAAGCTCATGTCTTAATTGATAGGCATAGAAATAAAAGAAAACGTATGATAACCAATAACAATCTACCGGAGACAAAATAACGTTGGTTTAGGCAACTAGGATAATGGTCTGGATACGGGGTTCTTCATTTCTGTATTCTTTGATATTCTATGCCGATTTTCTCTATTCTTTAATCAGTGTTTCAGGCCATTTTTCTCTACTCTTTATTTCTATATACTTTTTGCCAATTATTCTGTTCTCTTTATATTTTAACACCTCATTATTCTATTTTTTTTTTATTTCTTGGTCCATTGTCTCTATTATTCATATTTTTTGCCCACTATTCTCTATTCCGTAAACTCCCATCCACACCCAGGCTCTAGTTAAGGTCACCATATAGCTTTCAAAAATAAGCAAAACTAATACCGAGTAGGCTCCGAATGGCAAAACGATTGAATGCTAATCCCGGTTTGAATTGTGAAATTGCGGAAATTTGTTTTTCAATCAATTGATCAAGCAAAACACATTATCGTCCTGAATGTTCGTATAATGGACCTTGGTTATGAATTCTAATCATCTGAGATCAACCTTTCTAAATTTGTTCAGATTGATAAAGTCTTTTGCATCCGTCGACATTATCTTCCATAATAAATTTAAATTAAATCGATTAAAGATCTGATAACCACAGTGACTGTGCATACATGTATATACTTTAACGACCGGAGTAGTTTTCTTATAAGTTTTAAAAAGTAGTAACCTCCCTTGTTAATGTGATGTTGTAATCAATCTATTTATTTGTACCATCTTTATATAATATTATATTGTACAATTTAAATTTATGATTCGTTTGATATTTAAATATAATAATTTATTTTTTATTAAAGATATAAACAAGGTAATTTGAAAGGCTTTGATTCATTTATCACCGTAGTTCAATTCATAAGTCAGGCGGTCTATTTTGTCTACATTATGTTGAAAGAACACCGGGGTGTTTACATTGGCATTATTTACTATCAATGACTGTGAAACAAGAAAGGAAAACATTGTACATTATAAAACGAGAAATAATTAAAATTAGATACAAAATTCTTGTTTAGTGAAATCAAAAACCAAAAACGGAAACACTTTAGATTTTCATTTTGGTTTTAGAGAAATCAAAAACAAAAATGAAAACACTTTCGTTTTCCGTTTTGGTTTTAGAGAAATCAAAAACGAAAAATGAAAACACTTTTGTTTTTCGTTTTGGTTTTTGAGAAATCAAAAAAGAAAAATGAAAACACTCTCGTTTTTTGTTTTTTGTTTTTGATATTTCAAAATGAAAAACAAATGGACGCAAATATACACGGACCTATACGGTATACCATAATAAGTCCCGTAAACGGACGTATAAAAAGTGGACTACATTTTTTAGGCTTCTATTAAAGATCTATTTAAGATGTAAATGAATTATATGAAGAGAACACGCCAATCATTCGCAATTAAACAATATCACAGGTGTTGTCAACAGACTGTTTTCAATGATTAACAAGTGCCCATACAATTTGTAAAGCCCAGAGAAAATGAAAAAAAAAAACCAATTAATTCGAAGATGCCTTCTGTAAACATTAAGCAGTTTTAGACAATGAATTAAAAATCGTCAGTGTCTGTTTTTCCACTTAGACTGTTTCTCTCCATTCAAGCATACAAGCCAGTCAATTTTGGCACTTAAAGGTGTTTTTTGGGGCTGATGTTTTTTTAGCTTTTTATCTTTTTTTGAAGATTAAATGTTTACCATTAGATATTTATGGGTATGTTGTAGGAAGCTGCCTCATGGACTTTTACCCGACATTTCTTTTTTTCAGGACTAAAAAAATGACTCTATAATACCACATCATTTTAACTGAAAGGTAGTTCAAAATACAAATTTATTACAACCTCATTGGTATTCTAAACAGTATACATATATATAGCATTACAATTTAGAACTTTTATGTTAAACAAAACAAAAATCTTTTTTTATTTATTTGACGTCATATCTAAATATCATACACAAAGAATTACAGTTTTATGCATCAAACACTGTAATGACATCACTAACTTTCAAAGAATCACAATGTTCTTAAAAAAAATTATTTCAACATGAAATAAAATGGAAAAAGATACAATTAAATAATAATAAGTATTTTAGGAACTGCTGCATTTAAATTCATATATACATATATGTGTATATTGCTTTCAATGTTTAAAATGTGAGTTTTAATCTGCAAAATCTATTCTGTCGCAATTTTCATGAAAATAAAAATATTGCCAAAAATCTGAATAAACAGGATGTTATTCCATTTGGTTTAGAGTCACATGTATTCCCAGCTTCATCATAAATTTTACTGAAGAGCCTGGGATGTTATGAAATATTGTTTTCCTATAAAGGTCAATTGTCTATTAGGGTACCACACTGAAGACAGCACTATATATTGCACATTTAAATTTAAATTCAGCTCATTCAATAAAATATCTATATAATCATGATAATATATACAAAATAAATATTTCATTTAAAAAATTTCATTTTCTGTACAATATCTACAGATGGATGGATAGTATTACCATATTACTGGTAGAGCTTGGTTGAGAACTAAATTGATCAACTAATATAATGGAATAGCTAAACAATTGATTGAACAGCTATATTACCCAGAAATGTGTAGAAAAAGATGGTCATGAGATTTGCTTTTTAGACATGGAACATTTGAAAATCATGTTTTTCAAACATGTAATATATATTCATGTTGCATTTTTCATGAGACAAAAATAATTTGATGACACCTATACATCAATATTATTAAGTCTTACAAATGTCTCCACTAAGATGTCTCTATCTTCTTTCTTCAACAAGTCTCTTGGCTCTGAATAATAGATGGTAGCTTTACTACTGGTCTTGATTGTGTCAAATTTAGACATTGTCATTATTTCTCTCAAATGTGTACCTGCTATTTTCAGGAGTGTAAATATAACCTAAAACAGACAAAACAACAAGATATAGCAATAGTCATTCAAAATACAAATTGGTTGTGCATTTTGCTGTGTGCTTGTTTATTTCACATTGGCATGAGGTACAGGAGAGGGTTGTGATCTCACAAAATATGTTTAACCCCGCCGCATTTTGGCGCCTAGGAACATCTAGCCTTTATTAGACTTGTGTGAGTTTTTTAAAATTTTGATTCAGTTGTATGTTTCCGAGTTCAGTCATGTCGGTGTGGCATCCATTTCGCTGAACTAGTTATCACTAGTATACATTATTGTTTAGGGGCCAGCTGAAGCCTGGCTCCAGGTGTGGAATTTCCTGCTTCATCATAGACCGATTGGTTGCCTTGGGTTGTCTTCTAAACTTTGGTCAGGTTGTTGTCTCTTTGACACATTTCCCATGTCCATTCTCTATTTCATTTATCTATTTTAAAAATATTTTAAACTAGAGGCACACAAGAGCCTGTGCTGCTCACCTGATTCTTTTTGCATTTCACTAAATTAAAATTCATGACTTGCATCTCTTTTACTGTTATCTTTTATTGTTATCTTTTATTGTTATCTCTTTTCTTGAAAATTACATAAACCCTTGGTAAAATTGAGCATAATTGTTAACACTAGATAAAATTCAGTATAGTTTGTAAAGACTGGCTAAATTACAGTACTAAGTGTAAACACTAGCTAAAATTCAGCACAATTGTAAACACCAACCAAAGTTAAGTGCTACAGTAAACAATAGCTAAAATTCAGCATAATTGTAAACACTGCCCAAAGTTAAAACTATTGTAAAAGCTAGAGGAATTCCAGCATAATTGTAACACAAGCCTAAGTTCCGTGATAAAATACCAATATACAGTATGTCAGCTGATCAACAACTTCATGAGCTTTTTGGACTGTTCCAATCATACTCCTATATTGTATGCTTTTTATGTATCAGTTACGCAAAGGCAATCGGTGTAAATGACGTCATTGAACAATGACAAAAGAATGTAAACATTCTACAGGAAAGTACACGAATGTGAAACTGATAGTCGTGAAAACATGAAAACATAAACAAAAGGTGATAAGAATTCATTGAAAGCATATTTTCTTAAATAAAAATAAATCATTTAACTTCGTCCAACCCTGTTTAAGTGTGTTGTGGTAAATCGTTTAATCATAACACTAATTCAGTGTTTTGTTGTATTTTACTTCAATATCAATAGACAGTGTGTATATTTACAGCAAAGCAAATATTTGCTTTCAACTACAGCGTTTCGATCCAAAAGAACTGCTGTGTTTGTCCTATTGAAATAGAAATAATTCATAGTTGCTTGAATTTATATTGATTTTACAACCGGTTGTTTATAGTGCTGATGTTTTACCCCTAGTGAATATTATACTGTTATGACAACTATGTAAGGAGGGTGGTAAAGGGTTATTTTTGTGCAACGTGATCGCCGTTTTTTATTTCACGTTCAACGTGTTTTTACTTTTTTATTTGACGTTCAGTCGTGCAAGACAGGTGCCTCGTTCAACGTGTTCTACTTATTTAATTTTACCTTCATCCTGATTATCAAATGCTTATTTTGCGTGCTCGGTATCATAGTTTTCAAATAAAATTCAAACAATTGGCAGGGATCGTCAAGAAATACTTTTTTAAAAGCCGTAAACCATTTATATCATAAATGTGTATACAAAATCGGGAATAACAAGTAAAACAGAGAGTTTATATATACAAAAAGACAGTGATTCAGTCACAACAGGTTCACATCAAAGTCTTTATTTTTCGTGCAACATTCATGACAGAAATTATTTCTTGTTCAACTTTAAATTATGTCTTATTTCACGTTTTTTCCGTGCAAGCACCCCCCTTTACCACCCTCTGTAAGGACTAATAATAAAAAAAAATTATAATCTTTGTACAATTTAAGGATGTTCGCTACTCTGTTTCAAAATAACAAGCTTTTTGAAAGACTGTCATAAATTGATAGTATATAAATGAAGGAAATAAAAAAGCAGAAAAAAATGAAGGGTCCGTGTGCTTGTTTTCGAGATATGTAAGCCATTGAAAATTTGGCGGGAAACGATTCTCTCAAGATTTTTCATACATTTAACATTGGCACCTTTTTTCTTTCAAAAACATTGAAAAAATAACAAGGATTTTATAAGATTTTCAAATATGGCTTTTTAAACTATATGTAATGAAATTATGAAAAGAAAAGTAGGGGTTAGTGGACAAAATTTCTTAATGGAAAAACATGGATAAAACCAGAGGATTCCAAATATCTGGCAAAAAATCAAAAACAAGAAGAGCGAACATCCTCAAGTCCCCCCCAGGAAGTCACTTTTTTTAACCCCCCCCCCCCCCCCCACCCACAGAAATAAAAATAAATTAGAACAAAACTCCCTTTGCATTTTGGTATTTCAAATACAACCACCCACATAATATTAAAAAAAAAATGCCTTCCCTCGGGGGGTGGGGGGGATTCTTAGTGATCCTTACCCTTGTTCCTATGCAAATCACTCCTGGAAGGTATCGGAACATTCTACCCTTGCTCAGATTACCACCATAAATATCTTTATGTATCAAAAGGTCACCCCCATGTTGTCCAAGGAATCTAGGAGGAACATCTTGATATATTGATGGTTCAGGTTTAACATCACTTTCACTTTCACTTCCATCTGGAGTTGACCTAGTTTTTCTTGTTTTCTGTTGAGCTCGAACTGACTGCAATCGTACCATTTCTGCCGGCAAGGTTTTTTTAAATACCTTGTGAATACAAGAATTTAATACAATTAGGCCATGTGGTATAAACATAAAAAAGAATGACTTTAATTCATCTAATTTCATATACTAAAAATGACTTTCATTCATAAAAAGATATTATGACATCATGTTATTGTGACGTCAAATTATTGTGAAGTCATAACATTACCAAGGAATTAAATCTATAACATCATGATGATTGTGAAAGTAAAATGTATATATATCATGTATAGTTAAGGAAAATAAAGAAACTGAAGAAGGCCAGTGGTCAAAACGTCTTAAATAATGGTGTATTACTACAATAATACAAGAATAGAAAAGACGAAGAGTTGTCAGAATGACAGTAAATCAGGTTTTCATTACATGTATTAGTGTCATGTGATTTGCCAATCAAATCTATCCAGGACCATAACTCCTGAACAATTATACACTGATAGTGAAAATTGTCAATATCAAACTTGTCCTTCGTTTTATCAAACAACATATCAAAATTTGGAAAGCTCTGATTAAACAGTTCATCAGTTATTAAAGGGAAAGACAAAAATTCCATTTTCCAATTAGTCAACTTCTATGTGGCAAAGGTCAAATTTCCATTGCAAAAACACTTACTTACTTAAGGGAGCAACCATTTAACTTCAAGGGGGGGATTATGGTTTTTTGTATGAGTTTGAAAACAAAATCGTGCAAAACGCAAACTTATTTTATTAGTATTTCAACACTATCAATCAAATTTTTTTTTTCAATATTTAACACTATAAGGTATGGGGGAAATCTGGATTCAGAATATTTTTTTTGGTCATCTGCTGGACCAGATTATTTTTTTGTCATCAAATTGGGGATCAGAATATTTTTTTAGAAAAAAAACATATCCCCCTGTGAAGTTAAATGGTCGTTCCCTAAGAGAATATATTCAATAATATTTCAGAATATAAGACATAAATGCATTATTTATTTCAATTGTCAGTTCAAGTTTAATAAAACACAGCTGAATGCAAAATTAAAGGAAAATCTGAGACCTGACCTATTTATTGTAATAACTTGACCTTAAAATAATCATACATTTATACACCACATATAGTTGACCCACTAATTAAAGTATCTGAGATACAGATGTAACAAATAAATGAATCATAAAATTAGGTCAAGGTCAAATGACACTGCCAAAAAATTCAAACGCATACAATGTTTAAACACATAACATCATTCCATACACAAAATAGATTGACCTTTTGCTCTTTATGTGGTCCCTCATGGGGGTGTCTAAGTTATCACATAAACACAAATGTTTTGCCAATATAATCACGCATAATCATTAATTATTTCTTTAAACAAAATAATCAAATAATCAAAAATACAGTCCTAGATTATCAAATAATTGAATAATAATCAACTATTTGGTCTGGTAATCAAAAAATCACTATAAAAATGGCCAAGTAATCACATAATAAAAAACCACATGAAGAGGCTCCTTTATGTATCTGAGCAATAGACAAAACTATAAACAAGAGGCTCATGAGCACCTGACTCGGTCACCTGTAGCTTTTGTGTGTAAATATAATTCATTATCCTATTTCAAATAGTAACATCAATGATTGTTTTATAGTACATGTGATTATTAATGTGCATTAATACACATAATTAGTGAGGGTCTGGATGGGGTTTACACAATAAAGAATAATGGCCCAGAATAAGCGTTATTTTTAAAGATGTCCTAAAAAATTAAAGAATACAGAAATTAAGACAACCCATCAAGACACTCATTAACAACCTTTACACATGATTAAACTACTTATTTATCTACTAAATAAAAATGTATATTTATTTGAAACAGTAATCCACAAATTTTCATATCCAGAGAAATGTCTTTTTGACCCACTGAGGGAGCAACCATTTAACTTCAAAGGGGGATTATGTTTTTTTTTCTGAGTCAGAATAGTTTTTTCGCACAACGTGCGAACAAATTTATTGAGTTTTTCGACACTATCAATCAAATTATTTTTTTCAAAATTTAACACTATACACATGATACATGCTATAAGGTATGGGGGGAATCTGCATTCAGAATATTTTTATTTTGTCATCTGCTTGAACAGAATATTTTTTTTTATCAAATTGGGGATCAGAATATTTTTTAAGGAAAAAACCATAACCCTCACCTTGAAGTTAAATGGTCGTTCCCTAAAACACATAAAATACACAGTTATAAAACATACCTCAACAAATGTCACTATACATGCTGTCTCTTTATCAAATGCATTTAGACGATACATCATGGGAACAAGGACAACATCTGATGAAGATTTCACATTCACATTATGAATATTCATGCTACATTTTTTGGCTGAACCCGGACTGAAATATAAGAATACTTCAAGTCAATATTAAGATTATAACACAATGTAGACTGCTGTACCCCTATTTTTGACATTTTTACCTATTATGTCTGTTTGTTTTGTTCACACATCATTGTCAATATAATGGAATTTGATGCGACTGTCATACAAGTGAGAGGTTTAGCTAGCTATAAAACCAGGTTTAATCCACCATTTTTTACATAAGAAAATGCCTGTACCAAGTCAGGAAAATGACAGTTGTTATCCATTCGTTTGATGTGTTTGAGCTTTTGATTTTGCCATTTGATTAGGGACTTTCCGTTTTGAATTTTCCTCAGAGTTCTGTATTTTTGTGATTTTACTTTTAACTAAGCCAGGACTGCATGTGGCAAAAATTTGAGAATTTCACCCTCATCAGTGATATTCTTCAAGTAAGTTTCGATGGTTTTTCGATCTTATATTGAAATATATATACTGTGGATTCATTATTATTTGTTGGATACCAATTTTCGTGGGTAGAGGTGAACCACGAATTTAAATGTTCAACGAATTACAAATTTACTATTAGGTTGTATGCAGACTTTGGCAAAACCATGAAATCACATATCCATGAAAAGGCAAGTTTTCCGCAATCCACATAAATAAATGTATCCACAGTATACATGTTCATTTATTCTACCAAAAAATCAAAAGAATACATCTGGTGGAAATAGAAGTTTCTGAACAGTTAAATTTGGTAAAAAGCGGCAGGTTTTACAACCGGTGGTGAATATGAAGCAGACTTTGCTTAGGGAGCTACCATTTGATTTTTATGGGGGGGCTAGGATGAAAAATTTTGTCCTGCATTTTTTTTTAGTTGTAATCTCTGTCCTGCCTTTTTATTTTTCTCTCTATTCGGTCCTGCCTTTTTTTTATTAGTTTATCCTGATTTTTTTTACATAAATTGTCATCCTGCCTTTTTTTTTTGCCAAGTTGCTCATCCTGCCTTTTTTTTTACCCAAAACTCCTGTCCTGCCTTTTTTTCAAATTTCATCCTAATATTTGTCTACACATTTAGCATTTAGCATGTTTAGCAGTCAGAGCTCAGTCTTTTTAGTCTCTGTAACTTACAGAAGTATAAAATTTAAAAAAGCATCATGATCAAAACCTAGAGGCTCTCAAGAGCCTATGTCATGTAAAATAAGGTTAAAATCATAATAAATAGTATTAGATACCCTAATAATGATTGAGGCCAAGTTTGGTTTAATTGGGCCCAGTAGTTAAATTTAAAGCAGGTCATCCTATTCATGCTATTGTAGTCTTACAATAGCAACTGAAGACCCATCATTATTTAAATTAGTTTTCAAGTTGTGACCATTTGAAATTGTTTTTTTACAATTTTCCCATAGACTTCTATAGCATGTATAGTAAACCCTTATGTTCAATTTTTAGCCATGGTGGCCATGTTGGTTGAATGACAGGGTCATCGGATATATGTTTCAATCAAGACACCCTATTAAAAACTGTGGCTTAATTTAATTCTATTTGGCCCAGTAGATTAAGTGGAGAAGATTTTTGTAAAAGCAATGAAAAGATTATAAAAATTTACAAAAAGTTGTGAAAAATTGACCTTAAAGGGCAATACCTCCTGAAGGGGTCATTTGACAATTTCGATCATGTTTGACTTATTTGTAGAGCTTCCTCTGCTGAACAATTTTGCTGTTTACAGTTTATCTCTATCTATTATAATATTCACTTTAATAACCAAAAACTGCAAAATTTCCGTAAAATTACCAATTCAGGGGCAGCAACCCAACAACAGGTTGTCTGATGCATCTGAAAATTTCAGGGTAGATAGATCTAGACCTGATGAACATTTTTACTCCTGTCAGATTGCTCTTAAAGCTTTAGTTTCAGAGATATAAGCCAAACTGCATTTTATCCCATATGTTCTATTTTTAGCCATGGTGGCCATCTTGGTTGATGGGCAGGTTCATCCGATACATTTTCAAAACTAGATACCCTAAGGATGATTAAGCCCAGTAATTCAGAGAAGATTTTTGAAAAAGATTACAAAAATTTACGAAAAATTGTGAAAAATTGACTTTAAAGGGCAATAACTCCTTATGGGGGTCAATTGACAATTTTGGCATTATAACTTATTTGTAGATCTTAATTTGCTGAACACTTTTGCTATTTACATTTTATCTCTATCTATTATAATATTCACGATAATATCCAAAAACTGCAAAATTTCCCTAAAATTACCAATTCAGGGGCAGCAACCCATCAAGGAGTGGTCTGATGCATCTGAAAATTTCAGGGCAGATAAATATTGACCTAATGAACATTTTTACTTGTTCAGATTTGTTCTAAATGCTTTAGGTTCAGAGATATAAGCCAAAAAACTGCATTTTACCCCATGTTCTATTTTTAGCCATGGAAGCCATCTTGGTTGATGGGCGGGGTCATGGGATATATTTTTTTAACTAAATACTCTAAGGATGATTAAAGCCAAGTTTGGTTTTATTTGGCCCAGTAGTTTCAGAGGAGAAGAATTTTGTAAAAGTTAACCGACGACGACAACGGACGCTAAGTGATGAGAAAAGCTCACCTGGCTCTTTTGGGCCAGGTGAGCTAAAAAATCAATTTTGGAAATGTCTAAGGAAGAAAATGAAAATTTTGTTTAGGTCTATATGTACATGTATTTATCAGTATGGTTTTGTAAAAATGGATGAAAACACATTACCTACGACAAAAACAACTTTTTTGAGAGTTCACAAGCACTCGAGTGATCTTTATGATCTGATATAAAGCTTTTTTTCACACAATTTTTTTATCTCCATTTTTGGTGATTATCATAAGAATATAATTGATTATAAATAAACATTGTCTGCATTTTTTTTATTCATTTAGATGCTTGACCTTTATGTGTTAGAACATGGGCCTTAAAATTGGTATATTTTGGTAACTTATTGACCTGCAGAAGTCAACTTTTACAATTTTTTAATTTATGTCAAATATATTTTGCTAACATTAATTGGCTAATTGAGGTCATATTTTTGTCTGAAAATAAAGAGGAAAACTTTTAATGAGTCAAATGCAAAATCAAACTTATTTAAGCAACATGACGGGTGCCACATGTGGAGCAGGATCTGCTTACCCTTCCGGAGCACCTGAGAGCACCCCCAGTTTTTGGTGGGGTTCGTGTTGCTTAGTCTTTGGTTTTCTATGTTGTGTCATCTGTACTATTATTTGTCTTTTTGTCTTTTTATTTTTGGCCATGGCGTTATCAGTTTATTTTCGATCTATGAGTTTGACTGTCCCTCTGGTATCTTTCATCCCTCTTTTATTTACATGTACATGATGCATGTCTGTACTCTGATTGTTTAGACCATTCAATTCAAAATTAACCAAATGTAGAGGTCAACTTTACCATTAAAGTGACTTGATTTTTGCATGTAACCATGGTAACACAAGTCTCATTCAAAAATGCATCGAAATACCAAGTTTAGCCAACCTCAAAGTTCTATGGTACAATTTTAAAGTTGACATAATAGCTTACTTTGCATTATGGGTTACTTTTGATCATTGTTGAAGGCTGTACAGTGATGTATTTGTTAACTTTTACATGATTTGGTCTCTGGACGAGAATTGTTTCATTGCCAGTCATAACACATCTTATCTTTATATAATATATATTCTAATTGTACAAACACTTACATAGGAACAATATCACACATTAAACAAAACTCTTTCAAAATGTCAACAATCATGTCTCCTGGAGCACCAGTCTGTCTTATCCCATATAAATATGAACCCTGGCAGGAAATCATAAGCTGCACTTTGAGCAGGAAATTTTTCACAGTCCCAAGGCATGGATCACTGTAATCAGTAATATACATATCAAACTAACTTTGGTCAACCTAAGATCAATATTACAATAGTTCATGTAGTTATGAACTGGATGTGCTTGGAAATGATTCAGACGTGGTTTACTTAAAGTTAAACAACCTTGGGCGGTGTATGACACACCTCCATCCCATGATGTGTTCGTATACTAAGTTTGGGGGTGTATTTACAAGAACAGTTAAGAGAGCAGGACATATTGACATATTTACCCCTTGCATCCTCTTTTTGTTGGTCCCAAATACCATTTGTCAAATATACTTTAACAGTATGCAATGCAGACTACTGTAGATATCAATTTTGAAATGCTGGGGTTAAAATTGTGTACTCAGTCTTTGGTTTTCTGTGTTAAAATTGTGTACTCAGTCTTTGGTTTTCTGTGTTAAAATTGTGTACTCAGTCTTTGGTTTTCCGTGTTAAAATTGTGTACTCAGTCTTTGGTTTTCTGTGTTAAAATTGTGTACTCAGTCTTTGGTTTTCTGTGTTAAAATTGTGTACTCAGTCTTTGGTTTTCTGTGTTAAAATTGTGTTCTCAGTCTTTGGTTTTCTGTGTTAAAATTGTGTACTCAGTCTTTGGTTTTCTGTGTTAAATTGTGTACTCAGTCTTTGGTTTTCTGTGTTAAAATTGTGTACGCAGTCTTTGGTTTTCTAAGTAGTGTTTTGCAGTCTGCTTTACATTTTTTAGTTATGGTATTTTTCAGTTTATCAGTCAAGGATATAACTCTATAGGGTTGTTAGAGAAAAATAACATACATTTGTTATTGTGGACTAAAAAATCAAAGAACTGTGATAAAATATGTATGTTACATGTTTCAAAGGGACAACATACATCATTAGTTTTGTTAAAATGTATACAAGTTCTATTGATATTACTATTGTCTTTATGTATACTTAACTATAGAAAGATATAACAGTTCATAGTTTGCCAATCATGCATAGTACACCTATGTTATTACAGAAAAAATATGCCTATAATAACTGAAGGGTGTTATTACAGCATTTCTACATCACTCCTAAGTATTTGCTCAGACATTCATCATGCTTAATTACAATGAATTTTAATTTATTGTAAGAAATAATAATCAGAGCATGTAATGAGGTTCTGCGCAAGTTTCCCAGTAATTCCCAAGTGTCTCATATAACAAGTTACATGCCTTTAATTACTAAGCCTTGTTATTACAGCTAAGTTTATCCCTTAAAAGCCTCGTCTCATTGATTTACCATGGTTAATGAAAAATGTATTAATTTAATTCAAAAATTAGTTTATATCTATCAAGGCTATGCATTTAGTTTCTGTGCAAAGTTTCCAGAGTTCCCTAGAGCCCACTATAAATCAAATAATGTATGATTTATTTTACAAATAACAAACATATGTTATTACAGATTTAGAAAATTTAAGGATTAAAGAGTAGACAACTCATGAAAGTATCTGTAATAACACATGCAAGTTATTTTCTGTAATAACCCTATATATATAGAGTTATATCCCTGACTGTTTATTTGGGATCTCCATTGAAGAAAATTAATCTGGGCACTTTCTCAAGGACAAAACCAAAGGATGTGACTGAGACCTAATGAATTTGACAGTTTTGTTTAAATCGTTCAAATTGCATAGTTTTGTGTAAACTAGTTCTTAAAATAAATTTTAATTCTAATAAATGACGTTCTTCTTTCGCTTTGGAAACAAAGCCATCTTCTAATTCCAATAAAAACATGGGATGCATGTGATTGACGTCACAATTGAAATTGCAACGTCAGTTGAATTTTGAACAACACCGGAGATCAAAATGGATATTTGGTTTGGTGTTGCTAGCTTGGAAATTAAATAAAATCATTTTAAAAGTAAGTTTTAATGTATCTGTTCACTTTTTAATTGTTAGATTGTTGATTTTCTATAACATTTTTTGGTTCATTTATTCAAAATGCGCTGCCTTCTGAACGTGTATTATAGGTCCGCTTTGCAGTAAAAAAAGTTCAAAATTTTCATGTTAGAATCAAAATAATTCTATCATGTCTATCATACTATGCTCTTACCTAATTCTAACATGGGTAGGCATTATATCTGTCAACATTTTACACCTTGCTTACGCTTGGTATAAAGATATTGACAAATATAATGCCTTCCAATGTTAAAATCAGCATAGAGCATGGCATGAAAGAATTTAATAACAAGGTTATTTTTGCTATTAAAAAGGGAATTATAACTTTAATTCAATTTGGTTGTTTTATACATGTTATACGATACATATAATCTTACATGTTCAGCTGAGTGTGTACAATATACAGCGTGCTTTCTAACAGAAATCTTTTTTTTTTAAATATCATGGTACGACCCCATCAATTGTAAATGGTTTGGAGTTCTGTCTATGCAGTCGCTTGTCCAAATAATTATGACGTCTTGATATGCTATTTCATTTTTTACTTTGCTGCCTTCTTGGACGCAGTAAGGCGTCAAAGCAATATAATAAAATAGCCTTTCAAGACATCATATTTGGACTATGCAGTCGCTTGAATTTTAATATTTACTTGCTCAAGTTCTTCATATTCTGTTCAAGATCAGGTAAGAACATGGCTGCATTTTTTTTCTTTTTCTGAACAAGTTTTGTCTTAAAATGTATGTCCTCATCGAACATGCTTGTGTTTAATATTACAGATTTCTGTATTTTTTCCACCAAAATTTTTTGATCATCAGTCAAGGGTCCAAAAATTTCTAGTTCTTCATTAACAATGCTTAAGATATCTAAAGGGGATGGGTGGTAGGTTGTATTGTAAAAGATTCCAAGGGATTCGAGACAATGAATGTTCCAACAGGATGTTTTAGTTGGAAACGAAGACAAATATTCTCCATGATCTCCGGAACAAATTAAATCTGTTTCACTGCCACTGGTAGTGCTACATGTACTTGACGATTTTGATATGCTTGGAACATCGTCCAACACTTCTTCGTCTGTTGGGCGAAATGCCATCATTGTATGTTTATCTGAGAAGCGAATAAATGGTCCAAGTCAACATGTTACATGATCTAGACATATTGCCTCGAAATGCAGGGGAATACTAGTAAAGGGGAGGGAAACCAATAATAACATGCTCGGAAGATCTCATTCAAAAATATGTTATAGGATACTTAGAAATTATCGAAACCAGAGACATATTGTCTATATGTCTCTGTCTAAACTAAAGTAATTCATTGCATGTCATTGGTTAAAAAATTGGCAGTGTGATTTTCTAAGTGAATGAACCATCCTGGACATGCTGAACCAGAGACATATGTATATATGTCTCTGGCTGAACTTGAGGCAAAGCGAAGACTATAGTATAAGGTTTTTGACATCTAGCCACATATATATCATTTGTGCATAAATGGTTTCAGTATTTATTTTTTGTAATCAGACTGTATTTCATATAGTCTGATTAAAAATCTGAAATAAGACCGGCAAAATAGCAAAACTCTATATAAATCGCTATTTTGCCGGAGCCGCCAAATAGCCACTGCCTAAAAAAAATGACGTTAGTACAGGGACTATTATACGAACTAGTATAATAGTCCCAGGTTAGTATGACAAAAAAGTAATAAAAAACATGAATATTTATATATTTGAACTCAGTTATTATGAAATTAAAAGGTCAATACACAGAAATTTTAACTCTCTTAGTGATGCATGCGCTTTGGTCCAAATTCAAAATATAAAAATGCATTTTTTAACATAAATATTTAGCCAGTCCGGCATAATCATGGTTTCGTCCCACGTGGAACGAAACTTTTTTAAAATACAACATGTTATGTAAATGTGAAATATTAAATTTTTTTTTTGATATTACTATACTCTGGGACTATTATACTAATATAGTATAATAGTCCCAGCTATATATAATATAATATTTTCAGATGATGCTAGTGGTATGAAATTGTTCTTTGTGTAAGGCCTAGGGTTGCTTCTCCTTTTGCTCTTTTTTCTTGTGGATTCCTTAAAAAAAGCAAAATTATACATATTATAAAAAATGGAAATTAGAAAACTGCCCGGGGGGTTACTTCCTATATTTTTAGTGGTACGAGTGTGCCGCAAAACAGGTTCGCTTTTCCATGCCCTGCTGGTTAGAACAGGGTCCCTTTTCATGTCCTGCTGGATAGAACAGGGTCGCTTTTTCATGCCCTGCTGGTGAGAACAGGTTCTTTTTTTAAACAAAGTATTTGTCTAGAACAGGATCGCTTATTTAACTGTTTAAGATACAGTCTAGAACCCGGGTCTAGAATAGCATCTATTTTATACGGTCTAGAACAGGGTATACATTTTCTGAGCGTGTCTAGAAGAGGGTATGTTTTTCAATATTTCTGGTTAGAACAGGGTATGATTTGACAAGTGCTGTCGGCACAGTTATACCCGATAGGATAGTCAGTAACCCCCCCCCCCCTCCCCCCCCGGGGAAAACTGTTGTATAAATTATAAAAGGATGGATAAAAAAAAAATTCAACGATTGTCAGATGTGGGAGGAAACCGGGAAAATATATACATAGATTAGTGTCGTATATAATTCCGGTTGCGTCCCACCCCAAATGAAATTTAATACAGTTAACAGAGAGAGTGGGACGAAACCGGGATTATAGATATAGATATAGATAAGATAAGTGTCATATATATAATCCCGGTTGCGTCCCATCCCAAATGAAATTTAATACATTTAACATAGAGAGTGGGACGAAACCGGGATTATATATATATATATAGATAAGATAAGTGTCATATATATAATCCCGGTTGCGTCCCATCCCAAATGAAATTTAATACATTTAACATAGAGGGTGAGACGAAACCGGGATTATATATATATATATATATATATATAGAGTCTATAAGAATCTACCAACCAGTAAACTTAATAGGTATTGGATCATCAAAATTGACAATACTACACAAACAGGGAAAATTATATGAGTCTAAAAGATTGTGTAACAATACCGATAAATAGATGGAAAACAAAACACTAAAAAGTGTTGAATATCATCGCACAAAGATGGAAAAACTGAACAGATGATATAAATTATACAATAATTGCAAATATTTCGGCTCAACAAATGGCCTTCCTCAGTGTTAAAAGTTTTAACAATACTGATATATAATGTATAAGGTGTAAACATAGATCAGTAATAATACAGGTAAGTTTTGGTCGATTGATTTTAATCCAAAATCCTGAATATCATAATATAAACATTAGACTGTAAATTTAATTTTTTCTTTCTTTTGATTCCATCTGGATGGAGGACACCCAGTGTTTTTATCCAAAACTTCTCCCGATTCTCTCTTTGCCTATTTTGCCATGTACAATCCTGTTCGATCACAAGGATCTTCATGTGATCAAAATCTTTCAGATTGTGATCTGGTAACCTGAAGTGTTGGCTGACAGGAATATACGGTTTTTTTGTGAGGTCACTCCTGTGGCCATTAAGGCGTTTGTGAAATGGCTGCATTTATATATAGATAAGATAAGTGTCATATTTATAATCCCGGTTTCGTCCCACCCCTTTGGACATTTATTACATTTAACATAGAGGGTGGGACGAAACCGGGATTATTTATATATTAGGTGTCTTATATATAACCCCGGTTTCGTCCCACCCTCTATGTTAAATCAGTATGTTTTCTTTAGGGGTGGGACGGAACCGGGACTATATATAAGACACAGTAGAGTATATTTGAAGTGTGTATGTAAGGTTTGTAACTTTAATGAAAATGAAAACTTAACGTTTTAAAATATAAACTACTCCATAATTTAAAATAACGCCTTGAAAAGGGTTTTCTTTTGGGGATTAAAGCCATCAGCAAAAAGGGGCTAAGAATAGTTTTGGGAGAAGAAAAGAATCTGAAAATGATAAAATTGTTGGACAAAACTGATACCCTATATTCAAACCCTTATCATACCAGCTTTAGATAATTTGAGAACATTTGAACAGGATTAAAGAGGTGGGACGGAACTGGTACCCGATGTTCCGATAGGAATATGATACCAAGAGGGAATTTAATCAAATGTTGATTTCGCTATCAATAATTACAACTTGACATAATAACAATCAATCAACCAACCAACATTTTCCACTGAAAAGTCTTCCAAAACTTATAGCCCCGAACATATCTGCTGAGCTAATTCCCGAAACACAAGTTATTCGTCCTTAAATCTTTATCATGCATTCATATGATTTGCATGATTGGCCAAACTAGAGACATAAACCAGAGACATATGGCCTATAACATATGCTTAAACAATACAGAAAATATTGGATACCATCAGAAGTGCATTACTTGACTCTAGTAATGGACTTCTGATACCATCTTATTAGAGATTCACCGACAAAAATTAGATAAAAACAGTGAAATATTGGTTTTACTTTTCTTCTTGATTGTTCCCTTTTGCTTCATTTTTAAATAATTATGAACAAAGATTTGATAGACATGTTTGTTCGACTCTTACGAGATGGTTTTGAAATGACGTGTCTACCTTTACCACTGGCGAACTTTACTTACTTACAAACTACAAAGTGTCAATTAAAAATAAATTCAAACCTCACACATAATACATGCATCGATCGAGCTTACTCGAGACATTATATATCCCCAAGGAATAAAAGTCTACAGCATAAGTGCTGACCAAGTGGTAATGATATAAGCATTTTTCTGGAAAACCCATTAAGGAACGACCATGTAATTTCAAGGAGATAAGGAGGGGGTAGCTTTTATGGTTTTTTCCTAAAAAAAATATTCTGATCCTCAATTTGATGAAAAAACATATTGTGGTCAAGCAGATGATAAAAAAAAATAATTTCTGAATCCAGATTTTCCCATACCTTAAACAATGTTAAAGTGTTAAATTTTGAAGAAAAAAAAAATGATTGATAGTGTCGAAAAACAAAAAAAAAACTAAATTCTGACTCAGACAAAAAATTATAACCCCCCTGAAGTTAAATGGTTGCTCCCTTATCATGTAGCTGGGAAACAACAGGTTTGGAAATCTGAAACACCATGAACATGAAAACGAACAGTTATACTTGATCAAAGGTCAAAGATTGTCATGGATATGTCTGTAACACTATTGCCGACGAAGGCTTAACAAGAAACGACCAATCAAATTTCTATGCATGATGAAGCTTTTACCCTAATTGGAGTTCAAAACACAATATGAATATACATATTGCCAAAATGATTTATTTTAGTTTTTTTACAAAATGAAAATATTGAATACGTTGTTCAGATAAGATTAGAGATCCCTTGTCAATGAGTGTTTTATTTTTCTAACAACATATCATAGATAACTGTTGAACTTGTCAATTATTGATATTGGTAGATTACCATATAAACAAGGAAATGTTTATTGTAAAGTTACTGAGTCTATTCCTGTTTGAAGGGAATATATTGAACACCATGAGAGTAAAATAGGTAAGTAAATGTATGAAATATCGATAAATTGTAGACAACTACTTAACCATAAAATCTTGTTTGTGTTTAAAAACATACTCAGTGATGAGAGGTGCGTAATCAATTACCCGAAAGAAAGGAGGACCAGAGAGAAGATACACATAAACAAGGAGATAGACAAAAATCATTACAAAAATAAAAAGAATCGATGAACCGAACCTAGAAGTTCGATAAATACTGATAATAAAATTCATATTTTGATATATTGCCTCTATATGCATGTCATGATTATATTTTTACTGCGCAATTTACTATCTAAATGTATATGTGATAGCAAGATATATAGAGCTCACCAGGGCTGATTTTCTTGATACCGGAACTGACCAGATTTGGCTGTTTTTCATTTCTTTTTTTTTGTAGACTATTTTAGTGAGGTACATATGTGCTTTATAAGTGTTAGCTTTTAATATGCTAGAGTTTTTGAAAGCAAAAAAGCAAAAAAAAAAAAAAAACACAGAATATTGTCTACATCGAAAAAAAACAAACAATTGACACCTATGTCAACTATGCTTGTAGCATTTTTCAATATTTATCACTGTTTTTTATAAGTTTTTATTATTAAGAGAACCAGTCTCCA